CTGTGTCTGGGCATGCGTGGCAGCCACGGAGTATGAGTGAGTGCATTTGCACCAGTGACCCGCTTGGAGCGGGTCTGGATGAAACACCTGTGCGCTTTGCACGGCTGATGGAGCTGCACCACCAGCAGAGTGAGGAGGGGCGCTCACCCCCAGCATGCTGGGGCAGGCAGGGCCATCGGCGAGAGGACACAGAGTGGCACTGCCATGAGACCCAGAGGGCAGGGGAGCATGAGCGCCAGGGGCCAGCGGTGTAGGAGGGGAAAGCCCTGCCCTGCAGGAAATCTGGATTCGGGCCAGGCTGAGACAGCAGCACTAGGGCCGAAGAGTAAACGCTGTGGAACAAAGAGCTACCGCTGAGCAGAGCTGCCCGGAGCAGAGCCAGCCGCATTTGAAAGCAGCCAGCTCGCTCCCGGCTGATCCGGTTCCTGGTGGAGTCGAGAGGAGCCGGGGCAGGCTGTGGGGCAGGGCACCCAGGGTTTTCTGCCTAAGGCTCCAGCCCCACGCCAGGCACAGACTGAGAGACGCGCGTCGGCTGTCAGCAGAAACTGCTCCGTTGGAGTCAGTCCTGGGCCGGGTGCTAGAGGGTGCTGTGCTGCTGGGGGTGCTACCCACCTCTGCGCATCGACCCCCCCCCCCCCAGGCGCATGCCACAAGAGCAGGGGAGTCTGGCTAGTTACCTTCTGCTACCTCAGATTCCCCTGTCAGCGGCATTTGGCATTGGGATTTTTCTTCCCTTCTTATCCTAAACTCTAGCTGTGCTTTTATCAAACAGCTGCCACATTCCACACCAGAGGTGGCTGCCTTCTAGTAATGGGGGAAATGATCCCCATGCTAATGCATGCAGGGCTTGCTTATTTCACAGGGGAGCTGAAGATTAATTAGCTCATGCTTGTGAAAGGGCTTGGAAGGTGGGTAAAGCTAAGTGTCATTTCTCGGGTGGGGTATCTTCAAGCAGAGTGGTCCCTCCTTTCACTGGAGGATGCAGGGGCTGATGTGTGACTATCCCTGCACCCACGGGAGATCCTCCTGCCAAGACTTCCTCTCCCAGCACCCACAACTGGCTCGCGCGCCTTCGACTGATCGCAAGGGAGGTGGCTCGTTCTGCGCTGAAGCTCTCAATAGCCTAGCCCCAAACATCACACGTAAAAGTCCCAGGCGGTCCGTCGTCTAATGCGTTCTGGCGCTTTGCTATCAAAGGCCACGTTCTCGGCTCCACCCAGCCTCCACTGGGGACAGCTGAGATGGGAGCTCGCTGATCCTGGGGCCCGTTCAGTGCCCAGGGGCTGCTCGAAAGTGCACTGACCCCTACGGCCATCTACCAGCATGCTGCAGCCCCGCCTGCCTGCCTGCCGCGGCTTGGCCTCTCTGCTTGCAGCTTCTGTGGAGGCTGGTGAGTAGGGTCCAGCTGTGTCACCTCTGGTCTCCCCTAGAGCTGCTGTCCGGCCTCTTTGCAGCACTAGACCAGAGCAGAGAGGGCTGGGCTGGGCTGCAGCCCACAATCGGGTCCCGAAAGCTTAAGAGCCATGCCAACTCTTCAGGGAGGCTAAGGAATGAATCCTCCGCCCCCCTTTGAGGCAGGCAACCTTGGCTCTGTTTTAGAGAAGGGGGCCAGAGAGCTGAAGGCCCAGCTCCATAAAGTGACATAAGAGCTCAGTGGTTTGTGAACTCACCCAGGAGGTGGGAGACCCCCCCGGTTCAAGTCCTACCTCTGGCTGATCGTGAGAAGGGATGTGAGCTGGGATAATAGGCAGCAGGTTTAAAACAAACAAAAGGCAGTATTTCTTCACACAACGCACAGTCAACCTGTGGAACTCCTTGCCAGAGGATGTTGTGAAGGCCAAGACCATAACAGGGTTCAAAAAAGAACTAGATAAACTCATGGAGGACAGGTCCATCAATGGCTATTAGCCAGGATGGGCAGGGATGGTGTCCCTAGCCTCTGTTTGCCAGAAGCTGGGAACAAGCAACAGAGGATGAGTCGCTTGATGATTCCCTGTTCTGTTCATTCCCTCTGGGGCACCTGGCACTGGCCACTGTGGGAAGACAGGATACTGGGCTAGATGGACCTTTGGTCTGACCCAGTAGGGTCATTCTTACGTTCTTATGGACCTACCACCCCTCAGGTGACTGCCCTCACCACTAGGCTGTAGAGTCATTTTCATTCCTTTCTGCCTGAATTAATATCTAATCATTATAATGGAACAACTGTGTACGTCCCATAGCCCACTGGTCGGGGCACTCACTGGAGAGGAGGTAGATCCCTGTTCGAATCCTTTCTCCCATGGGATCAGGTTTGCCATTTTTGCCAGTCCAGGGAACTGCTAATCTGGCATTTCTGACAACGAGGCCTACTGGATAGAACCCTGGACTGGGACTCAGGACACCTGGGTCTTTTCATGGCTCTTCTGCCGAGTGACCTTGGGCAAATCACTTCCCCTCTCTTGCCTCAGTTTCCCCATCTGTAAACTAAGGGTAATAATACTCGTGTCCTTTGAGACCTACGGCTAAATGGAGCTAAGTCCTCTCGTTTGTGTGTATGCATGTGTAAAAATAGCTTGTAACATCAGACCCACCACGTCTTACTCACCTGGCTTTAATTTTAAGGCAGCATTTAAAGTACTGGACTCCTTGGTGTGTTTTGCTGTTTTGGTGACATGTTTAAAATCTCGCCCACCGTTTCCTGCAATCTCCCTTGGTCAGATTGTCAGGGCTTCAGCCCCTGAGAGCTTGTTGGACAAACTGTTTTCTCAAAGCCCGGTAGATTTCATTCTTTTCCCTCTAATCAGATTCCCCAGCAAGAAACTTACGAAGAAGGACAGGAGTACTTGTGGCACCTTAGAGACTAACACATTTATTTGAGCATAAGCTTTCGTGGGCTACAGCCCACTTCGTCGGATGCATAGAATGGAACATATAGTAAGAAGATATCTATACATACAGAGAACATGAAAAGGTGGAAGTTGCCATACCAATTCTAAGAGGCTAATTAATTAAGATGAGCTATTATCAGCAGGAGAAAAAAAACTTTTGTAGTGATAATCAAGATGGCCTGAGGCGTGGGACTTCTGTCGGTGTCGTTAGGGCCACGCAGTGTTCTAGAGACACTTACTTACACTGGCGGTTGGCTAAAATTCTTGTCAATTTCACGGCTGTGACTTGACAAGAAAGGCTGGTAGGTTCCCTGCTGTGAACCCTGTGCCTGGCTGGCAGCTCCGGCCACCTGCTGGGAACCAGGCTACTTCCCGGCTCCCAGTTCCCAGCCGGGCCGCTGCCTGGGCTCCCCACTCTGAGCCCGGGGAACGGAGCTCCCAGAGCTGTCGGAGTGCCGCTGCTCTGCAGAGACAATAGCAGTGTGAAAGTTACAAGTGTGTCAATTTCACTGCTGGCAGGCTCTGTGCTGTGAAATTAGAGTGACCAGACAGCACATGTGAAAAATCGGGACGGGGGTGGGGGGTAATAGGAGCCTATATAAGAAAAAGACCCCAAAATCAGGACTGTCTCTATAAAATTGGGACATCTGGTCACCCTATGTGAAATTCAGCTTTAGCGGGGGCGAACGGGGTCACAGCATGGGGCTGTCACTTGGGCGTGGATGGGGGCTGCAGCAGTGAGCCTCGTATGACTGTCAGTGCCCCAGGCTTGGCTGTCAGTGCCCCACAATGCCCTACTTGAGTAGGTACAAACACTCCTGGTGAGGACACACTCCAGTGGCAGGAGGAGGGTTGTGTGGACACCAACAAACGACTGAATTACCGGGATGGCTGTAGGTCGACCTAAATTAAGTCCACCTCCTTGTTTTTACAGCTGGTGACAAGGTGGACTTTGAAACTGCGTGGCAGGGTTAACGCTTGGTTAGTCACCAGGAGAGCAAAACACCTGCTGTCCCGGAGCTTAGGCTGCAACATGTGGTTTTGTTTGTCCCCCCCCCCCCGCTCTCCCACCCCCCCACCCCCGATGTATCCAACTTGAACCAGTTATTTGTCTGACACCTGAACTACACCTGTGTAACCAGTTGGCTGCTGCACCTTCCTCCCAACTGCGTGCAGTGCGGGGTGCTGTGTGTGTCCTCCAGGCATGCTGTGTCCTGCTAAGCTACCGGGGGTTTCCCAGCACACATCGATAAACAGCATGGCCCGCTGGGACACACCTCTGTTGAGTCACGGTTGTGTTGTGAAAAGAGCTGCTGTGTGATCACAACTAACACACTGGTTACAAAACGTGGCTGTACTTAGAGGTGATGGGCTGTTCCCCAAGGATCTCTGACTGCTCCACGAACATTTAAACCTCACCCCGACCCTGTGAGGTGCATTGCCATTAACCCCGTCTGCAAATGGGGGAACCAAGGTCTAGATAGACTCGGGTTGAAATTCTCAGAAGTGGCCCCTGATTTTGGGTCCCTCCATTTTTGGGGCACCCACCATGGAACAGCTGGTCCCTGACTTCCAAATGTGCCGGGATGCCCTGTCACCCACTGATTTCCCCTACAGCCTCTGAAAACCCGAGTGTCCCAAGCTCTATGGGGCAGGAACTGTCTCTTTGTTTGTGCAGCCCAGTGGATCCTGGTCTTGTAGGCGCGACACTAATACAAATAACAATAAGTCAGGCACCCAACTTTTAGTATCCTGCAGAGATTCCTGAACAGAGCTGGGAACAGAACCAAGGAATCTCGACTCCAGTCCCCTGCTTTGCCCATGCATGGTGCGGATGCTTTCCTTTGGGAGGCATGACCCATAAGCAGGCCTAGTTGCACTGCATTACAGCCGTGCGCCGGCCTCTTGAGGTTCACAATAATAGAATGTAGAGATGGAAGAAGACCCGTAGGCCTGGTCACCCCATTTTGCAGGTGGATAAATTGTATGTTAAGCTGGTGGCGGCAGGATCCTTCTAGAACTGGGGGTTCTATTGTGTCTGACCACTCCCCCAGATTTCAGAGAAGGGGTTCTGCACCCGCACACGACGCTCGTGGTCCCCATGCCCTGGTTCTCTTTGCTTCCTTGCAGATACCAAACTGTTGGAAAAGTCCGGCTTGCTGGTGCATTTCACAGAGAAGCTACAGGCCGAGTCCTTTGCTCTCCAGGCCCCTAGGTAAGTAGAATGGCTCTGACTTCTTCCTCCTCAGGCATGGAGAAGGCGTGACCGCTTCCCAGAGCCAGCAGCACCGGGATGTATCCCCGCTGCCCCTACAACGGCTGCACTGTTATCTTTGGAAGTTCGTAGGCAAGAGTAGCTGATCCTTTCCCTGGTCCCTCGCAGCACCGAATGCCTCTGACTAGCGGAGGCTGTCCGTGCCCTGGGGAGGAGGGGCTTTCACAATCAGACCTTTCTTCCTTTCCAACAAAAATCCACTGAGTCAGCCAGACACCGGTTCCTGGCTCCCCAGCCGAGTAAGAGTGGGAAGTGGCTCAGGATAGACAGAGCCACGCTTTCTCCTCTGTCAGCGTGCTGAGCAGCTGCTGTTGTCTTTCAGAGGAGACGTTAATAACTTAGTGATCTGGACCATAGAGCCCAAGTGACTTTTTTGCAAGAGTAAGGGGAGGTTAAGTGTGGGAGCCAGGCCAGATTGCCTTGTGGGGAATTACGTTCTGCCTTCCTAGATCCCCTCTGCAGCTTCAGTTTGATGCGTTTTGCTTCTTCACGTCCTGCCCCAAACTGCGGTGTGTTTAACAGCGGCCAATGTTCCACCCCAGAATCAACTGCACCGCAAAAGGTGAACAAAGCAATCCTCTTGCGTGCAGGTGTCTCTTGCTCTCTCACCCCACCAAAATCTGCAAGCCAGATTCTGCCACGCTTATCCCAGCTGACAGTGGGTCGGGGCGCAGCATCTGGTCTGAGCTGGCAATGGTAACGTTGCACAGCTAACCTTTAACAGCAGTTCCGTTATGCAAAGATAAAGATAACTGGACTTGCCTTGGTTACACGCACCGCAAACTCTGCGGCGTGTGCGACATAGCGTGATTGACGTTGCAGCAGGAGCTCTTGGCTTTTGCACGCCTTGACTTTCAGACGGCAAAACGGGTATTTTTAATGTTGCATTAAGAGCGAGGTCTGCATTGAATATCCAGGCTAAAGCCACGGAGAAGCCAATTATCCTGTTTGTTTCATTAAGCCCTCGGCGTCACACCTCGTTGAGGGCAGCGGGGGCAGGAGACAGCGTCTTTGCTGCAGGCAGTTTGGCTGTTCCCCAAATGAAAGCTGCGGGTGTGTTGAAGTTCAGGCTTTGCTTCACTTCTTTTTTTTAAATGAACGAAGCAAAACAATTCATTGCAACTTTGCCCTCTCTATCTTGCACCCTGCCCCAGTGGAATTGCCCCTCTGCCTCAAGAATCCGCCGCGTGCTCCTGGGGAAGGCAGATCTTCATTGAACTCTGCTGCAAACTCAGCAGAAGTGACTTTGGTTTTGTTTTTGAACCGGCTCTGTCTATAGGTCAGGGCGGGAAACCAATGGCTCCGCGCTGGAACCGGGCTCGGGCTCCCCAGAAGCGCTGCAGACCCTGAAGATCAAGTGCCAGGGGCAAATTGCGGAGATGAAAGGCGTCAGTGGGGAGGTACGTAGGGGGAGGGAAGGTACCGAGTGTCAGCTCTTGCGGCCCTGGGTTGTCATTTGCCCTGGGTTTGTACAGCGCCTAGCAGGGGCTGGTGTCTATATAGAGTTGCCAACGTTGTCTTTCAAAAATCTGGAACTGTTTTCTTAGCCCCTGCATTGGGGGGTGAGGGGGGAGTAGCCTGGGCCCACCAGTGTCAGGGTGGGGTGCCCGGTTCCATATAGGGTTTGGGGAGCGGGGCTGGAACGGACCATGTTGGCAGTTGAGGAAACTTCCTCTCCCTGCAGTGGTCAGGCTGTCTTGGCGGCCTGGGCCCAGCTCCGGGAGTGACCAGGGTGGCGGGGTCGGGAGGGGAGTGGAAAGAGGCACCTGTGAGTACAGCCCCCTGCTGATTTCAGCCCTTTCAGCGGCCCCGTCTGCTTTCCCTGTGCAGGGCCTGTCGGGGTGTGTGAGGGGGGGGGGCGGGGGGTCAGTACTCCCAGGGTATAGCCTCCCTGCTCTCAGGGTCTCTGCCACGGCCCCAGCCGAGGAGCATGACTGCTGGTGGGTGGCTGCAGCAGCAGTGGGAGAGGGAGGTGGGCGGGGAGCCTGTTCCCAGGGCCGACGAGAGGGCGGGGGGAAGCCGGTACAAATTACCGGGGCCCGGCGGTCCGGAAGGGGGCCTGGGCCCTGGCTTCCCCCCCCCTCGTCAGCCCTGTTTAGCCGGTCCGCCCTTGCTGGGGGGCCCGAAAAAAAGTTTTCACCGGGGTCCGAACCCACTCTTGGTAGCCCTGCCTGTTCCTGGCAGCCGAGGTCACCTGCACAGAGCCCTGTCCGCATCCCCCGCCAGACAGAGCCCCCTCCTGATTCCAGCCTTTCAGTGTGGCCCCATCATCTTTTCGTGCCCCCCGATAACCTTATTGCACCCCCCTAGTTTGGGAGCCTCTGTGCAATAGGTACAGGGGGTCCGTGAATCACAGGCCTGATTCTGCATTGCAGCCTTGTGTGATTTTTACAAACTTTCGAGCATGGGAAGGTAAGGAAATCACCGCGCTGGCTTTACAGAATGAGAACGTTTAAAAAATGCTGAAATCTGGGAGAAAAGGCGTCTCTTTAAATAAGAGACGTCCCTTGTCATACGGGACTGTTGCCAGCCCTATGGCTAGGCACTGCCCGTAGTAAGCGCGGACTCTGCACTTGCAAAGAAGGCAGGGCGTGGTATTGCAGAGCGCTCAGCTTTGCTGGATTTATTTATAGGCAGCAGGTTTAAAACAAACCAAAGGAAGTATTTCTTTACAGTCAACCTGTGGAACTCCTTGCCAGAGGATGTTGTGAAGGCCAAGACTATAACAGGGTTCAAAAAAGAACTAGATAAACTCATGGAGGATAGGTCCATCAATGGCTATTAGCCAGGATGGTGTCCCTAGCTGGGACTGGGCAACAGGGGATGGATCACTTGATGATCACCTGTTCAGTTCATTCCACCACAGGCACCTGGCATTGGCCTCTGTTGGAAGGCAGGATACTGGGCTAGGTGGACCTTTGGTCTGACCCAGACTGGCCATTCTTATGTTCTGTAGCACTATGGACAGTTCCATTATGAAGGTTGTAGATTAGAGAGCAACTGGGGAACCTGTCTGCAATTCTGGCATCTGGAAAATCACGCTCTACAAGAAGCTCCCAGACTTTTTAGTTTGTTCCTATAGCTTGGAAATGGCTTGTTAATAGGAAGAGCAGGCTGAGTACTATAGGCAGTGGTTTGGTAGCTGTGTCAGTCACGGGGTGTTCGAGAGACATGGTGGGGGAGGCAATATCTTCTGTTGGACCAACTCCTGTAGGTGAGAGAGACAAGAAGTTGGTCCACTAAACGATAGTCTGAGTGTTGTCATGCAAGTGAGCAACAAAAAAACCCAATCTGTCATCATTCTTGTATCCCACCGCACACACCACAATCTCAGGTGGAGTCCGGTTTATTACTCAGACCAGCTCTGCCTCGTGTGCTCCACAGCCCTTGAGAAAGCGATGTTCACAAACGTGCGTTTCTCTTCGGAAGATCATCTGGCCTTTGAAATCTCTCTCGTTTGCAGTTGGCGTATCGAATTATTGAACTGAGCAAATTACTCAAGGCCAAAGACTGTAAACTACAGGAGCAGAGAACAAGGTAAGGATGCTCCCCAAACTCCTGGATGCACCTGATTTAACATGGCTTCCTTCCAGTGCGTTTCTCCTTGGGGCTTATTTTATAGGGACACTTGTTTATTTCACCAGCATGAGGGGGCAGGTCTGCTCTACAAAACTGGCCCCTCCTTCCCCTACAGATCTCCTCCTGTGTTGGAATCACAATCTGAGCAGCCAACTTCAATGGCAGTAAATGTTTACTACTCTTCAGTCCTCCTAGCCCTGCAGAGATCACGCAGCGAGCTGGGCGTGTGGTAGAGAAACTTGTACAGTGCATGCCTCGCTCTAGCCAATTACCTGACTTTTAGCCTACGTTGTGTTTCCCCTTCTGCCTGATCCACAGAGGATATGAGTCTGCTACAGTTCCCAGCTAAGGGACTTAAGCCTTTAGCTCAAGCTGGAGAGGTGCATGCTCTCAACTCTGGAGGCCCCGGGTTCAATCCCTGGGGGTGATCAAGATGGCAGTTGCTCCAGTCTAGGAGCTCACTTTCAGGGGTGCTGATGAAAGTTTGGGATGCAAGTCGGGGGGAGCCCATTCCCTAGAGTGCTGTCTCTTGGTTTGGCTCAGGCTGGCGTCCCTGAGCGGGCGGATCTCTGAGCTGGAGGCAGAGCATCTGCAACTGAAGGGCCGGGCGGAGGATCTGGGCAGCGGGAACTGTGCCAGGAAGGCGGAATACGACGCGCTTCGCGAGCGTTACCGGCTCCGGGACGGGGAGCTGCGGCGAGCGGCCGAGAAGGAGCAGGAGCTGATTGAGAGCCTGGTGCGGAAGAAAGTGAAGGCGGCCGAGCACCAGAACAAGAAGAACGAGAGGTTGGTTAAGGGTCTGTCGCTGCCCCGCGTACGAGAGACTCGCCTGGGCTGGTGGGGGGCACAGGGCATGCAGACCCGGAGGGGGGTACTGCTGCAGAGGCCCAGGGCAGGAGGGAATTTTGCCCAACCCTCCTCCGCTGGAAGGATGGACCCTGCAGTGCAGGGGATTGGAGCAGAGGATGGGGCCAAGGCAGACCATGTGCAAGGCTCTGCTCACAGTCCCTGCGGCTCTGCCGGCCCCCTGGAGCGATGGGTTGTGTCAGTGTCCTGGAGCGGGGAACTCACTGGCTGAGGCCAGTGGGAGCCCTTGGGTGGGATTTTGCAGCCGATCCAAAGGCCGGGGGATGAGGTTATCAGTGGGCCATGGACGTGCCATGTGCTGGCTGTCTAGCGAGGGTCATGGGGCCAGACAAGCACCTTTAGTATCTGAGTGACTCTCAGCCTTTAATGACCTTATTCTCCCAGCCCCCCTGTGAGGTAGGGCTGGGCTGTTATTCCTGCTGTACGGATGAGGGAACTGAGGCACAGAGCGGTTAAAGGACTGACCCAAGGTCACACGGGCAGTCTGTGGCAGAGGAAGGCCTTGAACCGAAGGTTCGCATGTCCCAGACCAGGGACCTAACCACTGAGCCATCCTACTTCTTGAGTCTAGTTCCTTCTGCTGATGGAAATGGACCTGTTCCATTGCCCTCTGCTTGTGCTTACTTCCAGCCGGCCGCCAGCTGTGTTGCTTCCCTGTGAGGAAGACATAAGCCCTAATAATATCGCCAGCCAAGGGAGGTCTCTAGCTTGCACAGCAGAGCGCTGCGAGGCACAGTCAACCTGCGCAACTCGGTGCCAGGGGATGGGGTCAGGGCCAAACCTAGAACTGGGTTTGAAAAGGAACAAGATGAGTTCATGGAGGGTAGCCCCCCAATGGCTCTTAGTGGGGTTGTTGATTAATCGCAGTTAACTCATGTGATTCACTCAAAAAATTAATCACAATTAAAGAAATTAATTGTGATTAATCAGTTTTAATCCCACTAGATAATAGAATACTAATTGAAATGTAATTAAATATTTTGGATGTTTTTCTGCATTTTCATATATATTGTGTTCTGTGTTGTAATTGAAATCAAAGTGTATATTATTTTTATTATAAATATTTGCACTGTAAAACGATAAACAAAAGAAATAGTTTTTTCAATTCACCTCATACAAGTACTGTCCTGCAATCTCTTTGTCAGAAAGTGCAACTTACAAATGTCGTTTTTTTGTTACATAAATGTACTTAAAAACAAAACAATGTAAAACTTCAGAGCCTGCAAGTCCACTCAGTCCTACTTCTCGTTCAGCCAATCGCTCAGACAAACACGTTGTTTACATTTATGGGAGATAATGCTGCCCGCTTCTTCTTTACAATGTCACCTGTAAGTGAGAACAGGCATTTGCATGGCACTTTTGTAGCCGGCATTGCAAGGTATTTACGTGCCAGATGTGCTAAAGATTCATATGTCCCTTCATGCTTCGGCCGCCATTCCAGACAACATGCTTGTTAAAAAAATGAGTTAATTAAATTTGTGACTGAATTCCTTGGGGGAAAATTGCATGTCTCCTGCTTTGTTTTATTCGCATTCTGCCATATATTTCGTGTTATAGCAGTTTCGGATGATGACCCAGCACATGTTGTTCATTTTAAGAACACTTTCGCTGCAGATTTGACAAAACGCAAAGAAGGTACCAATGTGAGATTTCTAAAGATAGCTACAGCACTCGACCCAAGGTTTAAGAATCTGAAGTGCCTTCCAAAATCTGAGAGGGATGAGGCGTGGAGCTTTTAGGAGTCTTAAAAGACTCTGATGCAGAAACTACCGAACCCGAACCACTAAAAAAGAAAATCAACCTTCTGCTGGTGGCATCTGACTCAGATGATGAAAATGAACATGCGCTGGTCCGCGCTGCTTTGGATCGTTAGAACCCGTCATCAGCATGGACGTATGTCCTCTGGAACGGTGATTGAAGCATGAAGGGACATATGAATCTTTAGCGCATCTGGCACGTAAATATCTTGCGACGTTGGCTACAACAGTGCCACGAGAACACCTGTTCTCACTTTCAGGTGGCATTGTAAACAAGAAGCGGGCAGCATTATCTCCTGCAAATGTAAACAAACGTGTTTGTCTGAGCAATTGGCTGAGCAAGAAGTAGGACTGAGTGGACTTGCAGACTCTAACATTTTACATTGTTTTATTTTTTAATGCAGTTATTTTTTTTGTACATAATTTTACATTTGTAAATTCAACTTTCAGGATAAAGAGATTGCACTACAGTATTTGTATGAGGTGAACTGAAAAATACTATTTCTTTTGGGTTTTTTTACAGTGCAAATATTTGTAATAAAAAGCAAATATAAAGTGAGCACTTTGTATTCTGTGTTGTAATTGAAATCAATATATTTGAGAATATAGAAAACATCCGAAACTATTTAAATCAATGGTATTCTATTATTGTTTAACAGTGCGATTAATCGTACAATTAATTTTTTTAATTGCACGACAGCCCTAGCTATTAGCCAAGATGGTCAGGATGCAACCCCACAGCCTGCGTATCCCTAGCCCCTGTTTGCCAGAAGCTGGGAATGAGTAACGGGATGGATCACTTGATGATTCCCTGTTTTGTTCATTCCCTCTGGGGCACCTGGCACTGGCCACTGTCAGAAGACAGGACACTGGGCTAGATGGACCATTGGTCTGACCCAGTCTGGCCGTTCTTAGTTTTGGAGCTGCCCGCTGTAGACTGGATGCAGATGTCCTTACCCCTGTGTCCTCCAGCTCTGCTCCCGGTAAGGGGTAAGATTGCCTGGCTCTGTTCACACCTTTGCTAGGCCTGATGCAATTGCCTGAGGGCTAGGCCCAGGAGGGGGAGTTTCTGAACTCTCTCTCTGGATGCAGCCTGGCAAAGGGGACATGCAGCTGGGGAGGGGCCGCGCTGGTATATCCCAATCCCCTCAGCTTGTCCCGTCTGTCCTTGTAGGGTGAAGCAAGATCGGCTGTCCAAGGAGCTGAAAGAGGCGATAAAGAGAACTGTCAGTATTGATGTGTAAGTAGCTGGGAGCCCGGGCGCTGACGAGGCGGTGAGACAGACCTGGGGTTCTCAGGAGGGCTGGTGATGCATGGTCATGCAGCCCTGCCGAGAGGTGGGGCATTCTGGGAAAAGGGAAGATGGTATGTCCCAAGAGAAGTCATTTAAGCCCCATTGCGGCAGTGACTGCGTGGGTCAGGCCTGGCAAGAGGCCAGTGAGGCTAGAAAACGGCTGGCTTAGTGCTGAAGAGTGGGTGTAGACCTCCGAAATGTTCCCCAGCAGCCGTCTTTTCCCTGGGCATGGTTAGCAGCCAGCGCCCATCCCTGCCTCCAGCCGCAGTGCATCTGCTCCTTAGCTGCTTGCAGCTGGTTCTCCTGACCCACGTCCCAGGACGCTGCGTAGGAATTGAGGAGGCTTCTGGGTTCTGTCCGAGCACGCAGAGAAAACCTCCTTAGCACGGAGCAGGCAAGGCCCTGCTGACGGCATGTGCGCCGTGACGCCATGGTCAGTCCTAGTGCCGATCGGCCTGGCTTGACTCTCTGGGCCTCGCCGCTTGAAGCCACGGCATGACGGCAGTGTAGATACTCCCTGTAGCGACCGGAGGAGTTCTCATCGACGTAGGTAACCCGCCTCCCCGAGGGGCGGCAGCGAGGCTGACGGAAGAAATTTTCCCTTGACCTCACGCTGCCCACGCCGGAGGCTGGGTCGGCACAGCTCCGTGGATTTTTCACACCCTGAGTGGCGTTGCTGGGTCGGTGTAGTGGTAGACCAGCCCTTGGCAATGTCAGCAGCCTTCCGGAGCTTAGAGACAAGCCGGCCAGCTGCTCTTCCATGTGGGTATCCACGGCTCAACCGAAACACTTTAAAAATGACCGTGTGTCCAGCTGAGAAGCTCTTGTTCTCTGGCCGTGGACGTGATCTGACTTTGGGAACTCTACCAATGAAGCCTGAAGCTCATGACCCCCCAGCCCAGCAAGGCTGTGATTGGCCCATTACTGGGCATTCCTTCGTTCGTCCGCACCTCTCATCTCAGTGGCATGCGTGATAATTGGTCTCCGGACGGTTGTGTTGTTGAATTCCAGGTCTCCTGACAGCATAATAGAAATCAGAAGTGGAAAAACACTTCTAGTCCCTATGCCCTGGCCAGCATTTTTACCAGTAGAGAGTTGTGATGGTTCTTGGGGTGCCCAGGATGGAGAAGTAGAGAAAAGGGGTAACAAGGTGACTCTCAAGCGCTCTCCTCTGGGCTAGGCCAGCCCTGCTCCGGAGTGCAGGTTAAGAATAGATGAGTCCCATTGAAGCATTCCCCTGCGACGGCCAGCCCCTGGTACTGGCTCTGCCCGAAATCCCAGATCCTCTGCCCCTAAAGGTGCAGCGTCCCCCCATTGACTAGTTTACCTTAAATCACCGCTCCTGTATAATACACAGTCCTTGTAATAAAACCCAGGAAGGGTCGTTTAAGAAAGGATCGTAATTCAGCTAGAAACAAGAGAGGGGGGGATTGAAACAAATGGTTACAATACAAAACAAAATCACAGAGCACGAACTGGTCCCTACGCTCATTAATCATTCCCGTTCTTATCCGATCAAGTCGCTTTCCCCCTACGTTCAGTCTGTTGCGGAGCTGGCTGGTTTCACAGGCACCAGGGTCCAAGCTTTCAGCGAACACCCCGCTCCACAAGACAGCTCCTTGGGAAACGGGTGCAGAGGGCCTCTCCCCGCGCTGTGTTACACAGAATCAGTCCGTTGTCTTTATTCACGGGCAGGGGGATCGCGTTCTGTTTTACCGCCAGTTGTGTTTGATTGTTTGCGGTTGTCGCTGATGGTTTTCCGGTGACTGTTCTGGGATGGGGCACGGGTAGACAACTGAGCCTCGCGTGACGTCACCCGCTGGCTAGGGGATGGGAGTCATCGCCAAGTAATATTACTGCCTGGTGACTCCTTTTAACCTTGAGACCAGAAGGGCATTAAACGTCAATACAGTTCTAATATCCCTTAAATATCACCCGTACACGCATCACACCACGATCATGCCTATGGGTAAGTCACGAGTTTTTGATAGAGACCTTACACATTACCCTTTATGGGTAAATACCCTGCAAGCAATGTATTTGGTGTAGTGAGTTTGCCAGGTCTGAAATGGGAGTTTTTTGCCAAGGGGCCTTTGTGTCACAATGGTAAACAGCCCTTTAACCAATACAGCCGTGCTTTTCCCGGTAGCCTGTATGCTAGGAGTACTTTGCCGGTATAGCACCATGCATTCCTATGCCAGTGGTGCCAGCCATGGCCCGGGTGTGGGCACAGTTCTGTCGGTTGCCCTGGGCTAACTGCCTTTGTGCTGGGCTAGTGCAACTTAAACGTCAGCAGGCTCTAAACGGAGCTAGTTGAAGGGGTACAAAACCGCCTGCAGCCGAGCTGTCAGGGAGGCTTTGGTTACCCAGCCCCCCGTTGGCTGGGCCCCCAGGCTAACTTGCTGCTTCGTTCTCTCCGCAGGGAATCGGACGAGCTGAAGCCGGCAGAGGTGAAAATGCCCGTCCGAGAGCTGGAGGAACTGGAGAACTGCGAGAAGCTGTGGAAAAGGCCCTTCAGGTAGGAGGCTGCCGCGTGGTCGTGGCAGAGAGCGAGAACGCGCACGCACAGAGAGACGCGCACAAGGAGTTAGCGCTGACTGGCTCGAAGTGGGAGGAAGGCGGAGAAAAGTCCGTGCTCGCTTCCAAAGGAAATGATCCCGTGGCTCGCGTAGTCTTGCCCTGCGCGTGTCTGTGGTTCTGAGGTGCAGATTCATCCACTGTGGTGTATTTTGTACCTAGACATTTAAACCCCGGATCTGCCCCAGTGCAGGGGAAAGACCAGCCTTGATTCCTCCCATGGGATGAGGGACAGTGGCCAAGCAGGCCAGTCCCATCTCTGGTTCCTATGGGTCGCCCTGGGGTGCCTGCGGTCCCTGTAGGCCGGATGGCCAAGACAGGGTGGGTAAGGAGAGATGGAGCAGAGCGGATGGAAGCGCTCTGTGTTATCCCAAAGGAGAAACGCAGGGCACAGGCACCGTAGGGCTGGCCCGACCGGCTCAGCCCCGGGGTCCATCCAGCCCGGTCTCTCTCTGCCCGTGGCCAGCGCCAGCTGCTCAGGGGAAGCTGTGAGACTCCCACCAGCGGCAGATGGGGGATAAACGGCCCCTACCCTGATCCCTAACAGCGGTTGGCTTAAGCCCTGACTCAAATGATAGTGGTTCTCTAGCCCCCGAGCCCTGCAGATTCGTGGCACCATCTGGGCTGGTCTTCACTGCGGGAGTAAAACTCAGGTACCCAGCTCCCTCCCTCGCTTAGCGATCACTGGACTGTGCTCCCCAGCTGTAGACCCCCAGGGCGCGTGGCCAATGCCACGCTGCAGCCCCAGGTGCCACTAGGCACCCCATTTCTCCCCCCTGCCCCGGTTCCTGGCCCACGGGAGGGATATGGACCGGAATACAGGACAGGACCCCCAACAGGCAGTGGTGGGAAGGGGGTCGAGCATGACTGGGTCCAGACTCCCAGAGAAACTTGCTCCTGCATGGCACAGCTCCCCCTAGTGGCCTCCCCCAAAGGGCAGAGAACGAGACACTAGAGGTGAACTCCTGGTCCCATCGAGATCAATGGCAAAGCTCCCATTGGTTTCAGTGGGTCCCAGCTGTCGCCCCAGATGGGGAGGTGAAGGTTTGCCATCCTGTTGCTGCCATTGGCCCGAGCGCAGCTTGAGCCAAGCTCTCCGTCGGCGTCGGGCTTTGAGGGCAGCGTTCTCCTCTGTGATCGGCTGCAGCCCCCTGACCCGGCCTGTGGCCTGCCGCCCAGGTGGGAGAAGGGGACATTGCCCGGAGGGCTGGGAGAGCCGTGACGCAAAGAACAGCCCCGTCCCATTCCCAGCCTTGCTTTGCTCATCCGTTGCCTCCCTTTCTGTTTGGCTTTCACCGTAGATCGGCCTCCGCCACGTCCATGACTCTGGCCCAGTGCGTGGATGTCTTCAAGGGGCTGCTGGAGTAAGTTTGCTGTCGTGTGTCCTGCGTCGCCGGGGGCCCGGGATTTAATGCACTTCCCAAAGGTCTGGGTAGCATCGACTGAATGGTGGGTCTAAAGGGTCCTCCTTTCCCACCCCCATTTCCCCTCCCACCCAGCCCTCTGCTCACCGGGCTGCTGCAGTGATCTCTCGTCGTTCAGACGGGACAAGGCTCAGCTGGGCTGGCGTCAGGCCCCGTGTTCCCCAGAGGCCGTCTGCTTCTGTTGTGACCTGGACCCGCTCTCGTTAGTTTCAGGCTGAAACGAGGGAACTCCATCAGCAGTGGATCCGAGGTGCACTACCACTCCTTGCCCATCTGCCTCGTCGCCTGCCTGCCGTCCCGAGTCAGCGACGTCCAGGTAAAAGCTCGGAGGCACCGGGGACGTGCTGGATGGGCAAACCGATCAGCGTCTCCCCTGACCCACCACGCTCCCGGGCTCGCGCTCGCTTAGCTCCCCCTGGCAAACGTCTCGTCTCCAGGTCGCTGGTGCACCCCCTCCAGCGCTGTTCTCTGCCCCAGCTGTGGCCAAGGGTGCTCTGGAAGGAGGTCAGCCACTGCCCTGGCCCGGGAGGCTGTCCACCCCGCTCCAGAGGGAGGCCTTCAGCTTTTAGACAGCGCCCAGCTGCTCTGTTTTATTCTGTTCTCCGTAGCTTCCTATACCGCCCTCATCACCATAGATCTGAGCATCGGCCACTCGTGCATCGGTAACCAGACCAGCGTGTGTCACATGTTTCTCGCATCTCTCCGGGGGAGGAGGACGTGCAGGGCAGTGAGGGGCTGGGTTTGGTACGGCTTTAGGGGGTAGGTTTTTTAATACGCACCTCGCTCTGGTTTTTTTGTCTGTGGAGCCCAAACATGGGCGTTGGAGCAGAAAGTGGAGGGTTTGGGATGGTCCTTAGTTCAGGGGTGGGCAAACTACAGCCCGCAGGCCAGATCCGGTCCATCAGGGCTTTGGATCCGGCCCACGGGATTGCCACTCACGTGGCGCCGCGGGCCCCGTGCCGCTCCCAAAAGCAGCCGGCACAATGTCCCTGCAGCCCTGGGGGTGGGGGAGGGGAGAGGGCGGACGGGGGGAGGGGCAGAGGGCTCTGTGCGTTGCCCTCGCCTGCAGGCACCGCCCCTCGCAGCTCCCATTGGCTGGGAATGGGGAACCATGGCCAATGGGAGCTTCGAGGGAGGTACCCACAGGGGAGGGCAGTACACAAAGCCCTGCTTCCCCTCCCCCAGGGGCTGCAGGGACGTGGTGCCAGTTGCTTCCGGGAGCAGCGCAGGGCCAGGGCAGGCAGGCAGGGAGCCGTTGCCACCCCAGAGCCGCTCCAGGTAAGCGGAACCAGGCCGGAGGCCGCACCTCTCCTGCACCCCGCACCCCATCTCACTGCCCTGAGTCCCCGCCCGCACTCTGCATCCCCTCCTTCACCCCAACCCCCTTCCCTGATCCCCCTCATACACCCCGCACCCCCTCCCACACCCCAACCCCCTGCCCCAGCCCCAGCCCTACATTCATGGCCCTGCACGCAATTTCCCCACCCAGATGTGGCCCTCAGGCCAAAAAGTTTGCCCACCCCTGCCTCAGTTCCTGGGGGAGTTCGTTCCAGCCCCCTCGAAGGTTCTGACTGTTAAGAGTGCCGCTGGGCCAGCGAGGCAGAGCGGTCGACAGTGGTGCTGGCCGCTTCCAGGAGCTTGACTTTCATTCGCTGCCCTGTGGGAAGCCAGGGCAGAGGGGTGCGTGGTACGTGCCCGCCCAGGCCAGATGTGGTATCCCGCGTTGCTGAGGAGACGTGGTACAGCGCGCGCTACCCGGGGCCTCCTTCATGGCCCTGTGCATTGGCTGATGAGAGCGGCTGATGCCTTCCTGCTGCACATGGTGGACGCTGACGCTCGTTAATTCCCTTCTTCTCTGTCACGGGCCTAGCAACTTAAAACCCATGTAGGCTGCACAGATCGAGCTTCCCCACCACACCCCAAGTGTGTTTTCATTCAGATTCTCCTCTAGCCAACCAGCGTCTTATAGGAAGCTACGGAGAACAGAATAAAACAGAGCAGCTGGGCGCTGTCTAGAAGCTGAGAGCCTCCCTCTGGAGCGGGGTGGACAGCCTCCCGGGCCAGGGCAGTGGCTGACCTCCTTCCAGAGCACCCTTGGCCACAGCTGGGGCAGAGAACAGCTCTGGAGGGGGTCTAACTCAGACTGCAGTGTGAACGTACTGGAAGCATGTGGAACATAAGAACGGCCATCCTGGGTCAGAGCAATGGTCCATCTAGCCCAGTATCCTGGCTCTGACAGTGGCTGGTGCCCGATACTTCAGAGGGAATGAACCAAACAGGGCAATTAGCATAGAATCTCAGGGTTGGAAGGGACCTCAGGAGGTATCTAGTCCAACCACGTGCTCAAAGCAGGACCAATCCCCAGACAGATTTTTACCACAGTTCCCTAAATGGCCCCCTCAAGAGTTGAACTCGCAACGCTGGGTTTAGCAGGCCAATGCTCAAACCACTGAGCACATATCCCTCCCCGCTATGGAGTGTATGGAGTGATCCATCCCCTGTCGTCCAGTCCCAACTTCAGGCAGTCAGAGGTTTAGGGACCTGAGCATGGGGTTCCATCCCTGCCCATCTTGGCCAATAGCCGTTGATGGACGTATCCTCTGTGAACTTATCTAGTTCTTTTTTGAACCTTTTGGCTTCACGACATCCCCAGGCAATGAGTTCCGCAGGTTGATTGTGCGTTGTGTGAAGAAATACTTCCCTATGTCTGTTTTAAACCTGCTGCCTGTTCGTTTTATTGGGTGACCCCTGGATCTTATGGGTAACTAACGATGGGGCCTGGATGTCAGTTGGGCCCGTTAGTTGCCACTGGGAGACTTCTGGCAATAGCCGCCCCCTGGGGCTCAGGCCCTGGGGTTTGTTGTGGGTGGCGGATGGAACCTGCTGGGCCAGCTGATTGAGAAGACACTGGAGACGTGGCTAACAAACCTTGGCCGCATGCATCCAAGCCTGTAGTCATCAGCTGGGACTGACCCGGGGGCGGGGCTTCCATTGCCCTGACCACCTGAGTCCTTCCCACTCGATGGTAGCGGGGTCTTATCCTGGCTTGGACCAGCCACTCTGCCACGCTCCGCCGGTGCCAGAGATGGGACGGGGGCTGTGATCTGCTCAGCAGGGCCACGCAGAGGGCTGAGTTAATGTGCCGAGCCGATGCCCTCTGCCCTGGCCACGCTAAGCATTAAGGGTGGCACCTGGTCACTGATCCTAGGAGACGTTCGCCCTCACGGTTTCACCAGTTCTCCTTTCTCTCCTCCAGGAGGCGCACTTCTCCGAGGTGAACGCAGTCAAGTTCAATCCCAGCTCCGGCGCGCTGGCCACGGGCGGGGCCGACAGTCTCATCAGGCTCTGGAGTGTGGCCGGAGGTACAGCAATGGGCAGTTCACTGCTCCTGGCCAGGGGCGTCGAATACCCGCGCCAAGCCGTAGGTTAACGTGGGAGTGGCATTGCCAAGTGGGAGGGCGGCTGAGAGCTCACCAGCTAGCCGGGTGGTAATACCCTGTCCTGGTGGGGATCGGGCTCGTGGTCCGCTGAGCTGCAGACAGCCGGGGGGGTGAATCCTGTCATGCTAGTGACCGTCCCCAGTCCTGCAAGGGTGTGGAGTCCTTGATACATCCTCCTGTGACCGCCTAGCCCTTTCCTGCCTCTCCGTGACCTTTGCAACAGTGAGCTTGCAGTCCTGTAGTGCGCTGCCTCCAGACGCATCTCAAACCGCTTCCCTGCCCTCTCTAACACGTTGGGAACCTCACTTTGCTGCAGCCATGTCTGGGGTGGAACCCATCAGCTCCTAAACAGAACGCAGCAATACAGTTTAGGCCAGCAAAGAGGAGCTCTGGTTTGGTCCCCCTTGTCACACTGCAGGCTACGGAGCGCGCAGGTTGTGTCCCGGGTCTCAGGTGCAGTAGGATGCACACGCACGGGCTTATTCCAGCCGGCAGATGGCAGGGGTCTCTGGTCAGGTCACTGCAGAGTCTGGCCTTGACTTAGCTGTCACTCTGTCACTTGTTCTAAGTGCCTTCCTGTCAGCACACCCAGAGCCTTTCCTTTCCCCTTCCCGAAATCTCCAGGGGCGCCGCAGCCCTGAAAACAGACCCCGCCCTGACGGCCAGACACCTGCTGCCCGCCCAGGGCTTCCTTTCCTGCTCCACTTTCTGTGGCAGAGCTGTGAAATTCAGACCCAAGCATCCCCCGGGTCCTGGGCGTTCTCTGCTTAGAGACAGTAAATATGTAAATATGTAAATATCCCCCATTGCACAGAGAGGGAAACTGAGGCACGGAGAGGTCAAGGGCAGTTTTTTAAAGTGGCCCCTGACTTGGGGTGCCTCCAGCTTCTGTGCGATGGGATTCTCAGAGCTGCCGAGCGCTCCCAGGGCCTCGGAGGTTCAGGAATTGGCGTTGTCTCCGCAGTTGTTACGCCTCTCCCTGCTGCCCTGGGGCTAATCACCGTGCTGTTTCTGTCTGCTCTCAGGGAAGCTGGAGAACCTGCAGACCTTGGAAGGGGCTAACGGCAGCATCACCAGCATCGAGTTTGACCCGTCGGTGAGTGGGGCGTTGCTAGGCCAGCCCTGTTCGGAGTTGCTGGCGGGCCCGGCTTGGCTGGGACCGTCCTGAGCCAGGATCCCGGGACAGAGGCAGCCGGGGGCAGCCGCAGCCCCTGTGCTCAGAGCACGGCGCATCTCCCAGCTCTTCCTTTCTCTTCTCCCTGCGGGCCGCCTCTCTCCGCTACGGGCAACCAGCTCTTCCCGCTGCTGCGACCGCGAGGAGGGGGCTGACGAGGGGCAGGAGTCGTTCCTAGGACAGAGGGGAGGTGGAGGAGCCAGGCCAGGGCAAAAACAGGCCAGAGGCCTGCAGAGTTTTTTGCCCAGTCCGGTGAAGGGTTGGTTGGTCTCTGTGGCTTCCTCACAACGTATCGGTGGCAGAGCCCGGCCTAGCGTCTGGGTCCCCTGACTCCTCGCCGCTCCTGGAGCAGCCTCTGAGAAACGGCTCTTGCAGAGCTCGGAAGTTCTCCAGGGGTCCCAGGAGAGCCCCATGCTCTCTGAGCAGCTGGGAAGCCCCGGGGGGCGCCGGAAGGAGACCGTGATGTGTCGGGAACCCCAGGGCAGGAGAAGGGAGGCTGCTGGGAAGCTGGAGGGGGAATGGAGGCTCCAGGCCGAGGTGGGGTGGGGTGTGGAGCGGGAGTGGGACCTTTCAGGAGGGCGCTTTGAATAGGGGAGTCCACCCCGGCAGGGCCGGCTCCAGCTTTTTTGCCGCCCCAAGCGGCGAGGGAGGGGGGGGAAAAAGCTGTGATTGGCAGCACTTCGGTAGCAGCTCTACCGCACTTCATTCTTCGGTGGCAATGCGGCGGCTGGTCCTTCCCCCCCCGAGAGGGACTGAGGGACCCACCACCGAATTGCTGCCGAAGACCCGGACGTGCCGCCCCTTCCCATTGGTCGCCTCAAGCACCTGCTTCCTGCGCTGGTGCCTGGAGCCGGCCCTGCGCCCCGGGGTCTGTCTCTGGTTGGGATCAGCGTGCCCTGGAGGTGCCGTGCAGCCAGCAGGAGCCTTTGCATGGCGTGGGCACTAGATGGCAGCAGAGAGAAGCCATCACTTGGATGGCCGGCGCCTGGTGGTCCAGCGTAGCGGAAGATCTTCAAACGCAGGCTTTCTTCCAGCCCCCAGCCGGTGCTCGGGTGTTCGCTGGCAGGGGCGGGGGTCTTTCGAGAGCCTCATTGACTCCATGAGCGGGAAGGGGCCGGCTCCGCCCACTTTGTGAGCGCTGCTAGCTCGCCGGGCGCTGTCTGGGAGGGTCAGGCCGTGCCTCTGGGGCGGGGCTCTCCGCTGGGAGGTGTGTGAATGGCCGGGAGGAGAGCGGGGTTGGCTGTTTTCACCCAGCCCCGGTGGCGACAGGGGATAGTGTCAGGGGCTTCGTAGATCCCAAGGCCAGAGGGGACCATTGTGATCACCTGGTCTGACCTCCTGTCTAGCCCAGATCAACCCTTCTGACTGGCTCCTGTTTGAACTAGAGCTAGGTCCCTCCCGCTGCGCCCGCCCCCCATAGCAGTTAGTGACCTGTGCTGGCCTCCGTCCTCCCAGGAACTGCGCCGGCAGGAGGCAGAGATGGTGGGGAGAGAGGGAGGGGCTGGCCAGGAAGGGGGCACCCCACAGCATGGGAAAGGGGCTGAGCCACGGGACTAGCCGAGGGGAGAAGGCTGCAAGGTAGATGGGGCAGGATGCGGGGAAGCCCGGGGGAGGCAGCTCAGGTGGAAGATTCAGGCTGCCTAGATGATCGCACTGGTGTCCGCGGGATCAGCGGCCTGCAGCCCTGAAGGGGCCTCGTCACGCTAGAGAGGCAGCGGCTGAATCCAGCCTGCCCCGGGCAAGGCGAATATCCCCCCCGGCGAGGAAAAGCAGCGGGCGGGTTCTGTGCGGGAGTCATTTGTCCTGGTCTCAACCGTGGAACGCCGCGGAGCAGCAGAGGGGAGCCAGAGCGACGTGCTGGCCGCTCCGGAGCGCCCCACGGCGAGGCACGGACCACGCTGACTGCACACGCATGGCGTCGCCAGATCTCTGTGATCCCAGGTGCCGAGGACCGGCGGCTCTGTATGCAGCCGAGGGCAGGAACTCCGGCTCGCGCCGCCACTGCCCGGCCTATACCCGTCAACTCCCTCTTCCTCCTCTTCCAGGGCTGCCAGATCTTGGCGGCGGCGTACCACAACGCAGCGCAGCTGTGGCATATCGGGGACTGCAAATCCAAAGTAAGTGCCCCGGGGTCTTGTCTGGGTCCCTGCCTTTCCGGGGGGGGGGCGGGAGAGGGGATGTCCCCTGCCAACCGGGGAATGATCCAGACACCTAGGGGACTGAGGGCCACCAGGGATCGCCCCCCGTTGTCGCACATCAGCTGCATGAAACATGCTCAGATCAAGCAGATGCGTGACGTCCGCTGGGTTATCTGGGGTGGGTGTCATGCCCCCAGTCTCTCGCAGCGCCTTGCCAATACCCTGAGGATGTTCTTCTGACCCCAGATCTGCCAGGCAGGGTAGCCTACCAGCAGGGTGGCCGCAGCTACGCGCCCGGTCACATGCTGTCGGCAGGCAGACACGTTCCTGGTCGCCCATGAATACTTCAAAGATGGATCCCGTGAGCTCTCCTGAATTTATCACCTGTGAGAGGGGCCCTGCAGGAGGCAGTAAACTGGCCCCACTCCAGTCAGTCAGTGCTGGCATCCCCATGTGAGAGGGGGAAACTGAGGCACAGAGTGGCGGAGTGACTTGCCCAAGGCCGCCAAGCACCTCTGGGAACAGAGTCAGCTGGGGGAGAGGCAGGATTCCTGCAGGGATGGAGTTGCGTTAACGTGCCGGGCTGCCCGGTGGCTTTAATACCGGCCTGGTGCCCCATGCCTTGCAGCTGGCACTCAGACCCCGCTGGGGACTGTGCTGTCTGAGCTGGCAGAGATGCTGTGAACCCAGGGCCTGATCCTGGGGGGAGCTGCACACTGGAGATCCCGCTGGCTTCAGGCAGGGCCCGAGGTGCTTGCGGCCCAGATCCGCCAAGGTGTCTAGGCTCCTAACTTCCGTTGAAACCCGTGGGAGTTGGGAGCCGAGATATCTGGGAGGCTCTGGGCTTCAGTGCCTCTGGGTGAGGCGCGGGAACCCCCACCCAAGTCTGGTGCAGTCGTTTAAAATCGTTTCCTCCCCCCACCCCCGGCCCTGCTGCAGCTGCTGCCAAAGGCACCGGGGCCAGCTGCTCCACTGGTATAAACTGTGAGCACTGCGCTGATTCGCCCCGGTAGAGGATCCGGGCCTGGAAGAACACGGAGCCGTTTCCCAAGCCCCGCCGGGCCAGCAGCTCCGGGGTTAGGAGTGACTGTCCCTATACATGCATCTGCAGGCGGAGCCTACACGAGAGCCCAGCTGAGCCTCCCCACGCGGGCGCTTCCCGGCCACGGCTCTGCACATTCCACCCCTTTCAGGCCTTGGATTTCAGTGACTGTCTCCAGGCTGCGCAAGCGGATCGGTCCCCTGGAGCTGCCTGCGGCGTTCGGATCTAGGCTCCGCGCCCCTTCCTGCAGGGGCGGCTCAGCGCGGGGTTCTCGCAGCAAGCCGGCGGCCGGGCTCCGAGTCCCAGGGCTCGGTCTGCAGCAGAGCTGAGGCTAGAAAGTGAGGGCGTCAAGCTCAGCAGTCCCGCTCCTCCTGGGGCGGATCGGGGGAGGCGCTTCATACCACCTTGGTGCACCCTGTGTTCTGGAGCCATGCGAGTCTGCCTGGGGATCTGTTACAGCCGGACTGGCTGGTCCCTGGCGTAATCTAGAGCAGCCTCAGGGCTGTTCCATCTCGCTCTCTGCTTCCCGTGAAGCCAAGAACAGCTGTAGTGCTGTGTGTTCTAGCTGTACCCCTGAGCCGAGGGCTGAAAGCAGGTCCTCTCACCAGCCAGGAAAAGGTTTCAGAGGCTATTTCTGGGAACAGAAAGGAGCTGTGGTGTAACTGAGAACTAGCTCCCAAGTCTTCTGCCACTGCTTCCAAACCCTGCCTGCCCATATAGGAGGAGGAGAAAGACCTGCGTGTTTTGGTCGATCACAAGATAACTACGAGCGGCCAATGTGATGTGCCCATGAAAAAGACTAGTGCAGCCTTAGGATGCATCAGGTGAAGTGTTTCCTGCAGAGACAGGGAAGTGTTAGTACCGTTAAACAAAGCACTGGTGAGACCTCATCTGGAATACTGTGTGCAGTTCTGGTCTCCCTTGTTTAAGAAAGGTGAATTCAAACTGGAACAGGTGCAGAGAAGGGCCACTAGGATAGACTCATAGACTCTAAGGTCAGAAGGGACCATTATGATCATCTAGTCTGACCTCCCGCATGATGTGGGCCACAAAACCTGACCCACCCATTCCTGGAAGAATTCTCACCCTTGACTTAGCTGTTGAACTCCCCAAATCATTATTTAAAGACTTCTAGTCGCTGAGAATCCTCCAGCAAGCGACCCCTGCCCCATGCTGCGGAGGAAGGCGAAAAACCTCCAGGGCCTCTGCCAATCTACCCTGGAGGAAAATTCCTTCCCGACCCCAAATATGGCGATCAGCTGAACCCCAAGCATGCGGGCAAGATTCTCTAGCCAGACCACCTGGAAAAGTTCTCTGTAGTAACTTTTAATATCCCATCATTTACCATTGTTATCGACCTATTGACTAAAATCACTGTATCCCATCAAACCATCAAACCATCCCCTCCATAAACTTATCAAGCTTGATCTTAAAGCCAGAGAGGATGATCCGAGGAATTGAAAACCCTACCTAATGAGAGGAGACTCAAGGAACTTGGCTTGTTTAGCCTAAGGAGAGAGATGATTGTTCTATATAAATGCATCAGATGAATAAACACCAGGGTGGGACAGGAGTTATTTAAGTTAAGGGCCAGTGTGGACACAAAAACAAATGGATATAAACTGGCCGTCCACAGGTTTAGGCTTGAAATGAGATGAAGGTTTCTAACCATCAGAGGAGTGACGTTCTGGAACAGCCTCCCCAGGGAAGCAGTGGGGCAAAAACCTAACTGGGTTCAAGTCTGAGCGTAGGGTGACCAGATGGCCCGATTTTATAGGGTCAGTCCTGATTTGGGGGGCTTTTTCTTATATAGGCACCTATTACCCCCCACCCCCGTCCCGATTTTTTTACACTTGCTGTCTGGTCACCCTAACTGAGCGTGATACGTTTATGGAGGGAATGGTATGAGAGGACCGCCTACAATGGCATGTGGCCCATGGTTGACTGCTAGCAGCAAATACCCCCAATAGCTGGTGATGGGACACTAGATGGGGAGGGCTCTGGGTTACTACAGAGAATTCTCTCCCAGGGGTCTGGCTGGTGGGTCTTGCCCACATGCTCAGGGTCTAACTGATCGCCACATTTGGGGTTGGGAAGGAATTTTCCCCCGGGTCAGATTGGCAGAGACCCTCGTGGGGTTTCACCTTCCTCTGCGGCATGAGGTCACTTGCAGGTTTAAACTAGTGTAAACGGTGGATTCTCTGTAACTTGGAGGCTTTAAACCATGATTTGAGGACGTCAGTGACTCAGCCAGAGGCTAAGGGGTCTATTACAGGAGTGGGTGGGTGAGATTCTGTGGCCTGCAGCATGCAGGAGGTCAGACTGGATGATCACGATGGTCCCTTCTGACCTTGAAGTCTAGGAGTCTATGTATTGGATTCATTATTTGGAACTGCAGAGAGATTGTCATGTTTTAAGTAATTAAAAAACAAACAAACCCATAATCCAGGTTTCAGAGTAACAGCCGTGTTAGTCTGTATCCGCAAAAAGAAGAACAGGAGTACTTGTGGCACCTTAGAGACTAACAAATTTATTAGAGCATAAGCTTTCGTGGACTACAGCCCACTTCTTCGGATGCATAATCCGTTTCACTTCTGCAACAATTCCAGCAGGGGGCAGTGTTGGGCTTTGTTCTCCAAGCCCGTAACTGGCTGACTTTTCTGTAACAGGGCCGTTGTGTGTCATTTTCCTTGTTTTGATTTATTTTTTTAAAAATTAGATTATTGGGAAGAAAATAAAATAAAATAAAAAAAAACCCTAAACCCCATAACATCCCCAGCTGTTCTGTTGTCTAGGAGACGCTCACGGGCCATGCTGACAAAGTGACGGCTGCCAAATTCCGTTCCACCCGCCACCAAGCGGTGACGGGCAGTCGGGACAGGACAGTCAAAGAATGGGACCTGTGCAAAGGGGCCTGTAAGTAACCGACTCTGTCAGGCGTAGTGTCCTGTGTCTCACCAGCGACCTCCACTAGGGGGCGTGTCAAGTGTGTGTTTGTCCACTGCTGGCACGGGATGATTATGGTATTGCAGTAGGGTCTAGATTAGGTTCATGCACAACCACAGAGCGAGCTTACAATCTGGGGAAACTGAGGCACTGACCGGGGAAGTGACTTGTCTAGGGTCACACAGCAGGTCTGTGGCAGAACTGGGACTAGAAGCCAGGTCTCTTGACTCCCATCCGGTGCCTTAGTCCAGTGGCTATTATACAGTCTCTACTACGGCAGCTACCAGAGATGCCCCTTTAGTTCAAGGCTTGTGCTTTGGAGCAGAAGGTTCTGGGTTCTAGCTGGATGCACCGTGTGGTTCCACCAGGACCTCTGAGGTCTGGCTGTGAATCTGTTACAGCAGGTTCTTATGGACCCTCTCTATGGTCTTTGTGTGGAGTCCTGGGCTAATAGTCTCTGATTGTTCTGGGCCCGCAGCAGGGACAGCCCGCCCTGTGCGTCTTGGCAAAGCCGGCTAAGTGACTGTTTCTGTTACAGTAACTCCCCAGGGCTGCGATCCCTGTTGGGGTCCCGGGGGGTAGACAGGTGGTGCTGTCTGGCACAGTGCTCCCTTATGAACGGTCAGCGTTCTCCCTGTGGGTAAAGGGTATCCCCTGGGAGGTAGCACGACCCATAGCGGAGCCCCCGGTGCCCTGGCACTGCCCCGCCAGCCTCGCCCCCTCCCACCGTCACTCACAGCCGTGCTGTCCCCACAGGCTGCAGGACCATCAACGTCGTCTCCTACTGCAACGACGTGGTGTGCGGTGACAACGTCATCGTGAGCGGCCACCACGACAAGAAGATCCGCTTCTGGGACAGCAGGTGACTCCCCTCCCTGGGCGAGGTAGCTGCGGGGCAAGGAGCCTCAGCTGGTTAGGCCACCAGCTGGGCCCCTGGGGTCTCTGGCCCCCTTTGCTGGGGAAACAAGCAGGATAAAGCGCCGTCCTGCAGTTCTAGAAACACCTCCCTGCCCGACTTCAGACCTGTCCGCCCTGGGATCAGCTTACCCAGAGAGGGCGCTGTTCATTCTCCCTGTTTCACATATGGGGAAACTGAGGCACGGGTTGGCTAAGTGACTCACCCAGGGGCTACAGCGGGAGTCGGTGTCGAAGCCGGAGTTAGAACTCAGGAGTTGCTCAGGGGCCTGTGCTCCGTCCGGTAGGCCTTGCTGCCCCTCACTGGGCTGCTAAGCAGTGAGCCCCCCTCCTGGATATTCTCAGACCAGCCTCTCTGGGATGACTTGGTTACAGCTCTGGACTGGAACTTGGGAGATTCCTGGCTCCCTGCGCAAGTCGCTCAGTGTCTCCGTGCCTCAGTTTCCCCTCTTAGAGATGCGTTTTCCCTGCGGGGCCGCAGGATCAGTCTGTTAATGCTCAGATGCTGCTGTGTCGGTTGCCATACAAGCACCATGCCAAAGTCCCATCCGGGGCTGGGAAGTGCTTCCTTTAGGACGGCTCGTCTGGGCCTGGCCTGGGTGTGGGCATGGGTTCAGTGGAACTCACCACATGGGACGATGCCAGTTGGGGCAGCGAGGTGCGAAGGGGGGCCTGGCACACTCCGTGCCTTGTCCCCCGGGCAGCCCCAAGGGGGTGGGACGGGCAAGATGGCCAGCGTGCACCGCGATGGGGGGGTCACAATCCAGAGTAGCCGGGCATTTGGCTGCTCACCCGGCATCTGAACGCATCGTCCCCCTGCTTTCGCTAATCGGCGCTAAAGCTGCCACGCGTCTTGCTGCCATTTCTGTCTCTCCCCTGGGCTGTTCATACCCGGCGGGCTGCCCACTGGTGCTCCTGATGGCTCCCTGCAAGCGCTCCGTGGGCAGCGCTGAGTGGGGAGGGCTCTCGTCCGTTCCCTAGCAACGGATCTGTCCGGGTAATTAACTCCCGTAATGGAGCCGGGCGGTTCCTAGGCTAGCAGGGACAGGATGTAGCTGACGGCCTCTGGCGTGTGGGAGTCCTGGAAGGGGGGATCCGACTGGAACACGGGGGTGGTTCTAATCCACGCGGGCCTTCGGGAGCGGGCAGCCCCCAGGTGGGTTCTCCACGGGCCAGTGACGTTGCTGGCGCGCTAACGAGCCCCTTGTCTGCCGCACTCCAGGGGGCCCCGATGCACGGAGGTGATCCCGGTCGAGGGGAAGGTCACCTCCCTCCACATCAGCCAGGACCAGATGCACCTGCTGAGCTGCTCCAGGGACAACACGCTGAAGGTCATCGACCTGAAGATGAACAATGTCCGGCAGGTGTTCCGGTGAGCGGCGGGCAGGACCCTAACCCCGAGAGCCTGAGCCAGGCCTGGCCGACCCCCCCCGGGTGTAATACTGTCCCCTCCTGAAAGGTTCTCTGCCACCCTTCCAGGACTGGCCTATTCTGTTCCCCCGTCCTGCTCAGGCACCCCTCTTTCCTGTCCTGATCTGTCTTAGCAGCTGCAGCTCGCACCAGTCCTCAGGCTGCTGATAGGACAGCGTTCTCCGGGGGAAACTGAGGCACGGGGGGAGTGACTTCCCCGGGGTCACCCAGCAGGGCCAGTGGCAGAGTTGGGAATTGAGCCCAGCTCTGCGTCCTGCCCGCCCACAGCCCATAGCACCCTCCCTTCGGCGAAGCCGCCCCTCCAGAGCCAGTCGCGCTGCTCCCCCAGGAGCCTGACCAGGCCAACGCTGGGCGAGGCCTGGCGCGCCCCCCTTCTGCATCACGGCTGGGCGAGCGGCTGTCTGAGCCCGCAGGGGGCTAGGCCCAAATGGGTGATGCCACCCAGTGTCCTCGTGGGCTGGCAGAGACGCTGGCATTACCCCGTCAGAAGACGCTTGCGCCATCCCACGGGCCTGCGTCTGGCGCTGGCTGCCCGGGGCGTGGAAGCCGGAGTGCTGGGTCCCTGAAGTTGCAGGGATCTCGTGTCTGAACCCAGAGCCTGGCCCTTTGCCCCACAAGCCAGCAGCTCTCCCCAGGGCGGCTTGTATTGAGCAATGGAGCCTGTCCCAGCCCCTCTGTGGGGCTCCGAGCCCCGGCCCCGGGCATGTCCCATGGGGAGCTGTCACCCTTCGCGAGGGAGCGATGCACGTTCACCAGGGACGGTTTGTGTCTGCAGGGCCGACGGCTTCAAGTGCGGCTCGGACTGGACGAAGGCGATCTTCAGGTGAGCGGGGGTGGGGGTGCTGGCTGTGCTCGGAGCTGTACACACCATCGCGCAGGCTTGGCCCTCCCGCAGGGTGATAAAGGAGACACACCCCACGGGGTCACCGGGAGGGGCACTCCTCGCACGAGGGCACATGGTTGTGAATGGAGCTGGGGATCTGCAGTGCCAAGCCCAGCCCGTCCGTTGACACAGCTCTGGGTTATTGTTGTGAGAGAAGGACCCACAGTGCCAGCGAGCTGGGCATAGAGCATGTAAATAATGGGCAAGCGTCCTACCCACAGTCCAGCCAGTGCCCCTCGCTCCTGCCCCATGGACCCTGCTATCCCAGTCCTGGGCATCGCCACCCCCGGCCCTGCCAGTGCCCCTCGCTCCTGCCCCACGGACCCTGCTATCCAAGTCCTGGGCACTGCCACCCCCGGCCCTGCCAGTGCCCCTCGCTCCTGCCCCACGGACCCTGCTATCCCAGTCCTGGGCATCGCCACCCCGGCCCTGCCAGTGCCCCTCGCTCCTGCCCCATGGACCCTGCTATCCCAGTCCTGAGCATCGCCACCCCCGGCCCTGCCAGTGCCCCTCGCTCCTTCCTGACCCGAACTCTGCTCACACCCCAGTCTGTGGCTGTGGCTGGATCTGATGTGGGAAGTTTTCTCCGCCCCCACCCCCCCGTCACCGCCCAGCCCAAGCTTTGGACGGGGTGGGAGGTGGAGGCGAAAACGGGTCTCGTTGCCCCCCTTTCTGGGCTGTATGGACCCTACCCAGTTATGCTCCCTTCCCCAAATGCCTCATGCTGCTCTTGACCCTGACTGGGATGCCAGCAGGGCCCCAGGTGACCCTGGAGGAGGAATCCCAGGAACCGGAGGGAGCCCCTGGGAGCCTGCTGGCAGCTTTCCCCGTGAGCAGCTCCTCCCGCATCCCGCCAAGAGCAGGGCCCTGCGTTCTCCTGAAAAGCCAAAGGGCTGTTTCCCAGCGCTGGGGATCTGCCCTGCCGCTCCAGCCCTGCTCCCTTGCCAGGATCAGCGGCAAGCTCACCAGCCGCCCAGGCCTCCCAGAGGTGAGCTTGCAAAGGCTCTTCCCTGTGTCTAGGCCAGGCAGCTGGCTCCCAGCTCCATCGCACGCTCTAGGTGGACGGCTTCTGCTTGTTGTCGTGGCTATTCTGCTGTCCTTGAGACAGCGGTTGTCTCCCACCTGCCCCTCAATTTTCTTCCCGGCTGTTTTGTGAGGGAGAGGGAGGTTCCTGAGATTCTTTGCTGGCGCCTGCGGGTGATGAATGAACAGCCTGGAACCTGGGCTGCAGCTACCCTTAGTCTGCCCCGGGCTTGCAGAGCTGTGACCATTAGAAACTCTAAAACTCTCCAGCCCTTTTGGTTAAGCAGCATCCTCCTGCAGCAGGGAGTTCCACAGGTTTGCTGCAGTCTCTTGTCTCAATGTACTTCTCTGGATGGAGCTCCCAAACCCTGGAGTGGATTCTGTGCCTCTCTGGCCCGGAGTCCCAATGTCATGTGCCAGTATCAAAGAACCAGCAGAGGAGTCTCTGCATGCTGATCTTATACTCGTCTCTGTTCCTTGTCCCCCCTCTAGCCCCGATAAGAGTTACGCGCTGGTGGGCTCCTCGGACGGCTCCCTCTACCTCTGGAACATGGAGAGCGGGAAGCTGGAAACGATCCTGTCTGGGGAGCACAGGTGATGCTCCGCTGGCCCGTAGGGCAGGTTGCTGTCCTAAAGGGTCTAGGCTGAGTGCATTAAACCAGGATCCTGGGGACGGGGCAGCCCCAAAGGCAGCAGGGGGTCAGATCAGGAGGGAGGGGAGCCTGCTCTGGCTGCCCCTGCGGGGAAGGAATACAGCGCAACGGCCCAGTCGGGAACAGACCAGGCTCCTGGGATACAGTTGATCAAGGTTTTGTTTAACATCTTTATTAATGATCTGGATGATGGGATGGATTGCACCCTCCGCGAGTTTGCGGATGCCACTAAACTGGGGGGAGAGGTAGATACACTGGAGGGTAGGGATAGGGTCCAGAGTGACCTAGAGAAATTGGAGGATTGGGCCAAAAGGAATCTGATGAGATTCAACAAGGACAAGTGCAAAGTCCTGCACTTAGGACAGAAGAATCCCATGCACTGCTACAGACTGGGGACCGACTGGCTAAGCAGCAGTTCTGCAGAAAAGGACATGGGGGTTACAGTGGACAAGAAGCTGGATATGAGTCAGCAGTGTGCCCTTGTTGCCAAGAAGGCCAACGGCATATTGGTCTGTATTAGTAGGAGCATTGCCAGCAGATCGAGGGACGTGATCATTCCCCTCCATTCGACACTGGTGAGGCCACACCTGGAGTATTGCGTCCTGTTTTGGTCCCCCCACTACAGAAGGGATGTGGACAAATTGGAGAGAGTCCAGCAGAGGGCAGTGAAAATGATCAGGGGGCTGGGGCACATGACTTTTGAGGAGAGGCTGAGGGAACTGGGGTTATTTAGTCTGCAGAAGAGAAGAGTGAGGGAGGATTTGATAGCCCCCTTCAATTACCTGAAGGAGGGTTCCAAAGAGGATGGCGCTCGGCTGTTCTCAGTGGGGGCAGATGACAGAACAAGGAGCAATGGTCTCAAGTTGCAGTGGGGGAGGTCTAGGTTGGATATTAGGAAACACTATTTCATTAGGAGGGTGGTGAAGCACTGGAATGCGTTACCTAGGGAGGTGGTAGAATCTCCATCCTTAGAGGTTTTTAAGGCCTGGCTTGACAAAGCCCTGGCTGGGATGATTTAGTTGGGAATTGGTCCTGCTTTGAGCAGGGGGTTGGACTAGATACCTCCTGAGGTCTCTTCCAGCCCTGGTATTCTGATTCTAAGGTGCATTGGGGGGGGAGTGGGCTGGCCGGGGCAGGGAGCCTGGGAAAGAGGCTTTGTAGAAAGGCCTGTCTAGGGCACCCCAGAAGTTCCTGGAGGGGCCCACATTTTGGGGGAGGGGCAGATGGAGCCTGTTGCAACCCCCGCTCAGCCAGAGCCCGAGAAAACGGGGCGCAGGGTTAGTGCACAGGACACTGGGGAGCTTTAGAGAGTGGGGGTGAAGCTGTTCCCACCATAGTGAGTGTGTAATGGGGTCCCCCCTCCCAGCCACGCCCCCATCCCTGCAGTCTTCATTTCCTTTCCAAGGGTCCTTTGGGGGGGGAGCGGGCAGGACCAGAGCCAGTTGTGCTGCAGGCTGTTCTGTGGGATCCTCCCCCTGCCCACGTCCTTTTCCCTGGCCCCAAGACTTGCGCGGGGGCTGTGCTTTAACCCCCAGGGGAGGCTTTACGGAGCTGGGTGCTGGGTGATTGAGCTTGTGTTATTGCCCCCTAGGAAGGAGGACAGGGCGACCCAGTGGTTAAGGGAGGGGACTGGGACCAGGACGCCTGGCTTCTCTGCCCTGCTCTTCCACCAACTCAATATGTGATCGCTTAACTGCTCGGTTTCCCCATTTGTAGAATACTGTTTCTTACAAGGGTATTGTAAGACACAAGCCTTGTCCATATACAGGTGCTATTGGTGAAAGCACATCTTAAGGATAATAATAGCTAGCTCTCATAGAGCACTTTTCAGTCAGAGATCTCCAAGAACTTTATGAAGAAGGCGAGTATCACAGATGGGGAAACTGAGGCACCAGGAGATGAGGTTACTTGCCCAAGGTCACCCGGCAGGCCAGTGGCAGAGCCAGGACTAGAACCCAGGTCTCCCAACTGCTGTGCAGGTGCTCCAGATACCAGGCCACGCTGCCTCTACAGTACCTTGGGCAGATCCTCAGCAGGAGTAAATCAGGGGTCAGTGAAGCTGGTTTTCGCCATTCACAGATCTGCCCCCTCAGTTGACTGTCAGACTATCCCCATCGTTCCTGGGGTAACTGCTCCTCTTTCACTGACGGGCGAGTGGTGCGAGCACAGGACGGGAGCCAGGAACTCCTGCGTTCTACTCCAGCCCAAGTCCTCCATGGCTTTGGCCAAGCCACTTAACTTACCCATGCCTCAGTTTCCTTATTGGGATAACAGCATCCCTACCCCCCTGGCACTACTAGAGAGCCCTATATGGGAAGGGCGGACCCTTGTTAGCGTCCTGTTAATTCTCCTTGCCTGTGTCCTTGTCCCCCATCCAGGGCCTCGGTGAATGCCGTGGCGTGGTGCTTCTCGGGCCAGTGTGTTGTGAGCGTGGACCAGGCGAAGAAGGTGGTGCTCTGGAAATAGGCTCAGCGTGATGCCGGGCTGCGGAGGAGGAATCCAGAGAGGACACCAGCCCCTCCTTTATGTGCAGCCCTGCCCGGCCCCTGCTGCTACTGTTCAGCTCCCAAGGACCGAAGCAGCCCAGGGCTGGAGAGTGGAAAAGGACCCGGATGGGCAGAGGTGGGGTTAGAAGCCGCGTCTGCTGCTCTCCAAAGACCTCTGCCCGCTCAGCCGCAGCCGGGGCACTTTGCAGGACGCTGACATTTTGGAAAAGGAAGATTAGAAAACCAAGGGAAGCAGGAGCGGGAGGCTGCTGGGCCAGCGTCTGCGGGAACGGGCCCGTCGTGCCCGAAGGGCAGACATACCCACCGGACTCCGGCTATGGGACATTCGGGAGGGGGAGGAGCAGTTTGTGCCTGGCATTTAACCCTGAGGCAGGGGGTGACAAGCTCACTCTTGCGTCTGAGGGCCTGGACTCCATGGAGCCGTCCACCCTCCCTTGCAAACCGCCGTCTGCGGGACCCGGGCGTGAGGATCCAGCGTTTCCAGTGCGCTTGAGCGGCCACGCTGCGTTGTAAACCTGGAGCCGGGCCGCTCGGCCACGGCCCGACGCAGCGCTTCTGACTCGGGTCTGCGGCCTGAGCCGCGTCCACGCTGCAGAACGACGGGGCCTGGGCCTGAGTCCCAGCAGGACTCGGACTCTGACCCGCCCCCCAGATGGGCCCGAGGACGCTTGCTGACCCGAGTCAGGCTCGCGTGTGTGGACGGAAGCGGAGCTCGGCTCCAGCCCTGGGTCCGGTATCTCACTCCTCTCCCCCTTGGGCAGAGTTAGCCCGAGACTCTAGGCTCTGCCCCACCCTGACCAGTTGGTGCCTCCCACAGGCGACCGAGGCTAACTCTGCCGGAGGGGGAGAGGAGTGAGATCCCGGACCCAGTGCAGCCCGTGGCCAAGCTCCGGTTAACTGCAGTGGGACTAGGGGAGGGGGCTGCTTTGGGAATAGTGGATCGCCCCTTGGACACCATCTCCGTGGCCTGGGCCGTCATGCCAAGCCAAGAGCCATAGACGCCAGCCTGCTGGGCTCCAGACATAGCGCCTGGGCACTTTTCCCCAGGGGTGAGCCACTGAGCGACTCTCTCCTCTCCATCCCTTCCTGCCTCTGCTAGGGGGTTCTAAACCGTGCCTGGCGGGGGGTCCACGGTGCAGTCCAATCCCCTGATCTGATTCCACACGGGCAATGGCAAAGCAGGGCTGAGGGGGGCAATCTGATCCCCTCATTTCAGCCTGCTCCACCATGCGAGCCGTGGAGTTCGTTTGTCACCCCGAATAATCTTTGTGCCTCTTTGCCTGCCGGGGGAGAGGCCCCCGCTGGGAGCGCAGGGCACGGCCCATGGTGGGTGGGCTCATTCGGGTGGAGAGGCCCCTGCCGGGGGAGAGGCCCCCGCTGGGAACACAGGGCACGGCCCGTGGTGGAAGGGCTCATTCGGGTCGAGATGCCCCTGCCAGGTGGCGGGGTGCCATGGCTGCACAGCTGAATGGGCAGGGCATGGCCAGGTGGTACACACGTGCAGCGGGCTGCACCAGGCAGGACACCACCAGTCCTGCTGCTGAATGTGCACTTCCCATGCATGGGGGGTGAGACCCACCAGGGCACTTAGATACATCTGGCTAATGCCCCCCCAACTATGCCAGGCATTGGCCGTGTGAGGTTCCTAGGTCAAGGCAGTGGAAGGCCCAGTAGCGGATGTGTGTCTAGTCCATATCCTTCTCTGGGACTGTAATGTCATGGCAGCGGTGTCCTGTGAATACAGCTTTAAAACACGGTTTGGAGTTCTAGGCTGTTTCTTTTCCCCAGGCTCTAACTCTCCTTTGGTGCCCAGCCTCTTGGAGGAGAGACCCGGCAGCTCCGGAGCCAGGCCGCCCACCGAGGAGTTACTCACAGCTGTTTTATGGGGCTCGAGTGCTTCTCAAAGGCTCCGGTTTCAGTGATCCCAGAAACTGACGTCCTCTGGCAGCAGAACGGGCATAGTAGGAACGCATCCTTCCCCCACCGATGCCCTTTAGCCCTGACTTAGAGAGATCGGGTCTCCCTGCACTGCTGTGTGTGGGTTGGGTGCTCCACTCCAGAGGCAGCTGCATTTTGGTGGTGCAGCTCATCCAATGCTCTGGGCGCTTTTGCTATGGAAGGAGCTGTAGCATTTCAAGGGGTGCTAGTCCCTGAAGGGCAGCAGCCAGCTTTGTGAAAGTGGTTTCGGGGGTTCGGACAGGAACCCTGTGCCCCCCCAGTTCAGATGCCAGGATACATTAAAAAGGCCTACACGGGCAGAGATAAAGAGCTGAGCACTGACCATCCCCTGGGCCGGGCCGGTGAAATCCACACGGGCTGGCAGTTTGCCCAGCACAAGTGCCAAGGGCTCCCTATTTCGTGCCTGCAATTTACACGAGCCGCCGTGGCACTGCTGGTGATCTATACCGCATCGACGACGTGAGTCCTAGCGTCACGCATGCTGCTGATCGTGCAGGCTGGCCCGCCTGGCTTGCTTTGTGGGGGTGCTGCTGCAGTGACCTGTGCACAGCTGCCTTCTACTGGAGGGAATCAGCCGTCCTCAGCTGTGTGTCATAACCCCTACAGTGCTAATGGAGATTCTCCTTTAGCTCATGAGGCAGGACCCTTTGTCGTTAGAGCAGGAGGCTGAGAGCTATGTGCCGGCTGGCTCCGCCATTGTTCTGTGTCGTCGTGTGTGGCATAGTGACAACCAGTGAGTCTGACGTGCCCTGTGGGTTTCTTACAACACTTACCTGTCTTCTCTGTAGGTCTGCTCCAGTGCTGTGGGTGTGGGACTGGGAGCCAGCAATTCCTGAGCCCTAACCCCAGCTCTGACACTGGCTGTTGGCAAGTCATGTGTGTGCCTCAGTTTCCCTCTGTGTACTGGGATAGTAACCAGGCTGCACTAGCTCAGAGGGCTGCTGTGAGGATTACGGGGGAGACCACGTTATGAGAAACACTAAGGGTCTTTATGAGAGTGGCAAAAGTCAGGGAAAAAGTGTTGTGGGCCTGGCCTTGGTGAGGCCCATACCCAGCATGCAATGCTGCAGCACACTTGCCCTCCAGCTGGAAGGCTGCTCATTGGCTAATCGATCCCGGGGCGGAACTCCTCCCCCGCTGGATCTGCCAAGAGAAGCCAGAAGTTGGAGCAGGGGTAACGCCTTAGTGGACTCTCCCATCCGGTGGCCGGCCCGTGAGCTGTGCTGTGCAAAGGCCAGTGGTACAATCCCAGCTGTGCCCGGGACAAGTCACTGCCATTCTTCGTGCCTCAGTTTTCCTGGCTGTAAAATGGGGGTACTTCCCACCTGGCAAGGCTGTGGGAGACTTAATTCATTAACCTCTCGATCGGTCCTTTGTGGCCATGTGATCAGCAGAACCTGGGCAGCCAGCTCCGTGCTAAGCGCGGGTGGGCGGCAGCCGGCACCCCCTGGATCTGCTTATTCCCAGCGCTCCCCGGCCAGGAGGCTTGCTGTTGGAAAGGGACATCATTGCTATTGGAATGGGGCCAACAGCACAAGGTCAGGGCAGGCCGCATGCAGGCCCCGTTGGGCTGACCGGCACCCTCTGCCGTTAGTTCTCTTCCTCCGGACAGCGCCAGCTGGGGGAAGCATCTGCGGGGGAGAGATTAGCCAGCCGGCCGGCTCGTTTCTGGACATCCCAGGTTAGCAGGCGCTCTGCCCTGCCGGGAGCAGGGTGCGGGGAGCTCGCCGTGCTCTGGCTCACATAGAGAAGTGGATGGGCATTGGCTTTCTGATGAGCCAGTGGAACCGGGATCTGCTGATTCAGACCTCCCGTCCCTGTGGGGAGAGCCAAGGAGCGGGAGAATTGCTCTCAGGTTTGCCATCGTCCCGGGATCAGACCCATGCCCCAAATAATAAACACTTTCCACTGAGCCGCCCCCCCTTCCCTGCGTTCAATGAACCTCGCAGCCCCCCGTGAGAGGGGTCCAGTTGCATAAATGAGGAAACTGAGGCACAAAAGGCAAGAGCCTTGCCCCAGGTCCCACTGCCAGCCAGTAGCAATAGAACCCAGGCGTCCTGATGATGGGTTCCAGGCTCTAAGCATTCTATAGCTCACAGGCTGAGGATGTCTTACGTCTCTGTCCATGACGGGTGAGTGGCACATATAAGACAGGGCAGTGCTTAACGGGGTCTGCTCCCAGAGCCGGTCACCCTGCCCTGCTGCCCTGGGGGCAGAGCTTATTCGGTGCCAGCGATCTCACATGCAAAAGCTCCCCCCCAACCCAACCTACGGCTGGTGGAGGATCAAAGCGCGCGCCCGGAGTGCTGTGCTGGCTAAGAGGGTTAATGCAACCCAGCAAGGATGAGCAGGGCGGTGGTAGCATCTCTGTGTACAGCGTTGGCCCGACCATTACTGGAGCCCATGTCCAGGTCTGGGGTCTGCACGTTGCTACAACGGGACAGCTGAGAAGAGAACAAAGCGAAGGGTCAGGGACGGCTTGAGTCTAAAAGACGCTCGGGCGCACGCAGGTGTTGTGGGCGGGAGGCAGCAGGAGTCACTGGGTGAGGGCTCAGGCTAGACACTCAAAATGTTCCCCACTGGCCATCCCGCCTACGAACCTGCGCGTCATCTTCCCTGCCCGTTGCTCCAGCAGCCGGCCCTCTAGCTGTGGAGCTGAGTTTGGGCCTCAGACCCTAGTGCTGCATCTTTGCTGACGGATGTTTCCTCTATCAGAGCAGCACCCCCTACTGAGGGCTTGGCTCAGCCTGCCCTGGCCTGCTCCTGCAGGTATCTAGGTACCGTGGCATCTGCCTTAGGTACCTAGCTGGCCCTCATCACCGTAGTGTCTGAGCGTCTCTCACTCTGCAGTGTATTTAGCCCCGCAACACCCCTCTGAGGTCGGGCAGGGCTGTCCAGGTGGGGAAACTGAGGCACAGCGAGGCTCAGTGACTGGCTTCGCTCGCGCTGCCTCTACACATGAAGCCGTTCATCAAAATGCTGAGCACTTCCTGGAGACGGGGCCTTCCATTACAGTGCAAGGCGCTGTCTCAATATCCGCTAACCCAGCTTCATTCCGGAGTGCGGCACGTAAGGGGAGATGAAGCCAGTTCCTTCACTCCACAGCTGCCCTTCGTTTTCAGTGGCTGCATTTCGAATCAGCCCCCACTGGCTAAGTGACGGGGAGTTACTGCAAAGCAGCCCTGAGCCTGGCTACAGCTTTTGTTTCCATGGGGGCATGTCCCCCTCGGCTTTCTCCTGCTCTGTACTACAGCCTTTTGCGGGAAATCTCAGCCCGGATGCACAGATCAGAGCAGCCCAAGGGAGCAGCTGCTGATGGTTTAGCGGTGAATGGGATGGGGCGGGCTGCTGGGTGGTCCCTGAGATACAGGCTGCAGCATGAGCGAGGGGGCTGTTTTGACTCCAGCCGTGGTTTCGGGGTGCAGGGCTCCCTGGCTCTGGAGCGGGGAGCTGGCAATCAGTGCTCCTGGCTCAGAGGAGCTGCATGGGGGAGGGGAAACAGAGCAGAGGAGCACGGAAGGGGCTTGTGAGCAGCGGGCACTCAGACTGGCATGTGGGCAGAGAGGCTCATCTGGGCTTCTGACTCCCTAAGGACCTGTCTGCACCATGGCAGCTGAGTGCCGCCCCCTCTTGGTGAGTTTAATCTGCAATACCCGTGAGAGACAGGGATTCTGGGAACGCCAATCAGCTTCCCAGCAGTTACACAAGACACCTGGGGCAGAGCGGGAGCGTGAACCGAGCTCCCCTGAGTCTCAGCCAGGTGCTTTACCCACTAGGCCACCCTACCACACATCCTCGCTTAGCCGCGCCTTCAGATTGCCAGGGTTTGCCGGCACCTGGGCAAAACAGCGGTTTTGTTAAAATGCACCCGGGGTTCCTACTCCCAGCTCTGAGTCGCTCCCAGCAAGGCCCTGAACTGCCTGCTTCAGTTCATGCGCAAAGCGGGGCTAAGACCGACATTAGCAGGGGAGATAAAGCCAGTTAATATTTGTTTAGCGCTTTGCAAACGTCAGCTGCTCGTTTCTGTTTGGAGTCAATCTAATGCGAGGAGGCTGTTCGAGGAGGCTGTAGAATTCTACACAATGCTGTTTCCTCCAGGTGTCTGAAACGGACCCGTAACAACAAGCGAACATCCCAGCCTCGGGAGGAAGGTTAGAACCGAGAACAATCAGCTCCCGCTTGAGTCCAGGGGGCAGGGACCGTTTCAAAGGTGTGTTGGGGGAAATGAACCCGCCCATTATTACATCTTGTTCTGCGGAAGTCAAATCAACCCACCGGGCGCATCACTTTACTCTAAAGCTCGAGGGAGATCCTGGCAGGTCCTTTCATCCCCTTAGAATCATAGAATATCAGGGTTGGAAGGGACCTCAGGAGGTCATCTAGTCCAACCCCCTGCTCAAAGCAGGACCAATTCCCAACTAAATCATCCCAGCCAGGGCTTTGTCAAGCCGGGCCTTAAAAACCTCCAATGAAGGAGACTCCAGCACCTCCCTTGGTAACGCATTCCAGTGCTTCACCACCATCCCCTTACAGGCAGGTGGGGTGTAATGGGCCGGTGGGCAGGAGAGATCCTAGGTCTGTATCTTGAAGTCTGCAGCAGGGAGCCGGGGAAGGTTTGAAGCAGAGCAAGGCAGATAAAGCTTCAGTGACCGTCCTTTTTCCCTAGAGTTCCTTGTTCAGTGTTTGAAGAAAGTGACTGACTTTTTTAAATGATTGTCACATAACCAGGGGGCCTGAAGTTTGACTAATTTTTCTCCAATATAAAGAGGAAGAGACTAAAGCCAACGCCACTTATCCG